TAGGGCTTTAAAATGTAATATGGCAACAAACTGCAAAAGAGGAAACAAAATATAGGAAAGGCAGGTTAAACAGCTGACTTTCTGTGAGACTAAATATCCAGGAAAATTGAAAGTCCTTATTACCACTTTCTCCTTTGGGTTTAACAAGTATAAATAGTCCTTCCATTGAACATGAAATTCTGTTGTCTATCAAAATTCTCCTGGCTCGGTGTCGCAGTGCACAAAAAAAATATCGTTTCTGAGAGTCTCATCAAAAGCCAAGGATTGTAACGATCATGGCAACATGAGTATCATGTTGGTCGAGTAGAAAAACAGTACATCAGTCTTGTGAGGCAACATGGGAGTTCTTCACTGCTGCATCTGTTCTGGGTTCTGTGTGGATTCACAGAAGATACTCATCTTGAAAGCTGATAATTCAATGTCATTCTGAAACATTAAATGCATATAAAAGGATATTAATGTACAAATCCCTGCACTTAACCAGCTGTTCACCAAGTCATGCAAGTGTCAGGACTTAGAACTCTGAATGTTCACTGATACATTATTTTAGCTTCATTACTAAAATAAGCCCTTGAAACAGAGGAAGAATGTGGAAAACCGTTAAGGAAAAAAAACTCTCATCCTGTATTATATATCTCTTACAAGTTAAGTTACACACACAAGGAATGGTCATGATTTCTCCTAAAACCCCTCTCACTAATTATGTATATATTTAAAGTACCATGAAGGTTTTCCAGATAATATTATTGAAGACACACAGTTGAATAGGAACTTTTGTCCTCAGCAGGTAGCCCAACTGTATCTAATATCTAAAGAACCACACCATGGATAATTGTCAGTGTGAAACATGTAGTGTGAAGCATCTCATCATAGGTCATAATCCAAGTTTATTTTCTTGGTGCCATCTTGTGGATAAAACAAAAATTACTGTGAAAAGCCAGTAACTCGGTGGAATTCCTGTCATGCATCCAGATCTGCTGTGTTTGCAGTGAGCCCCCTTTACTGCCATCCCTTGTTTATAGGAAGTACAAAGTGTATTCCCATGGTCTTATTGCTTCAGATGCGCCTGATGGAAGAAAACCTGAGGGACCACCAGAGAGCTCAGGATGAGGCAATAACAAAAACTCAGTTACTGGAACAGACTGTGAAAAGTTTGGAGTATGAACTGGAAGCCAAAAACCACTTAAAAGATGATCGGGCGAGACAAATCAAACTAATGGAGGTAAAAGACATTCATATGGGTTTGTTTCTTTTTTGAAGAGATGAAAGTAATTTTGGTGTTTCACATGGATTCTGCTTGGAAGGAATCAAAATAGCTTCATGTTGTTGAAAATCCTTGTAGTATTACTGCAGAAAATAATGTGGTATATTTTAAAAGTGATTTGTTAGCATATCTATTGCAACATGATATGTTCTAAATTAGAATTTTCTCTCATAATTTTAATTAATTTCTTTTTAATTTATTGTATATAGAGCTTGTCATGCAAATTTGCATGGCTTTCATTTCTAGGCCCATCATTCAGAACTTCAAAAATATTTATAAGTTTCAGCCTGTGATATCAATTCATTTCAGGAGTCTGAATAACATTGTAACTCTAACTTCTTACAGGGCATCATAACTGTTCAGTTCAACTAGGCTGTCATTTGACTTTCATAAACAAACATTTCTATGTCATTGTACTCAGATAAACAGAAATTTGTCTTTCAAATATATAATGTAATGCAGACACTCAAAGTCTCAATAGAAACATTACAGAATTTCTCTTATATTCTTGAAATTGTTTGGAGTGATAAAAAAAGGAAACAAAATGTTTATTTTATGTCTGTCAAACAAATTTACTGTAAAGCCTTATCTGCCTGCCATGTCTTTTGCTGTGTGTTTTGAGGCATTTCAGTTTCCAAGCTTAGTCTTTCAGACACTATGGGTCCTTGAAGTTTAAAGAAGAGAGCCCTGATAGCAATCTGAAGAGGATGGAAAATGATAGCAATCTGAAGAGGAAAGTAGTGTGTTGAGGTTGCTTTTCTTTGTTCCACTTAGGACAAGTTGTCTCACCTGGAACTTGAGCTTGATGAAGAAAAGAATAATTCAGATTTGTTGTCTGAGAGGATCAGCAGGTGCAGAGAACAGGTACTTGAACAAGTCTTCCGGCTTTTGTTTAATGATTCTATGAAAAAGTGTTATTAGAATCACAATCAATATTGATCAACTATATAATGATTAGCAATAGGGTTTATATGCTATACTTGAGCACAGCATGTAAATCCAAAAAACCCAAGGTTCACAAACATGATTAAATATGCTCCCTCCA